ATCATATATAATCATAAAACCATAATTGAAGGAAGCATCAATTTTTGTCTAACTCAACACTCACTGTTCTTAACAAAAAAATAATGCAAAAATAAAAACTTAATCAGATCCCACTGAGTAACCACGCACTCCACGTTTAGTAACCATGTTACTAAATCAAAACGGCATTTATAAATTTTGTCGGCGCCTATAAGTATGTCTCGATCATGTCTGCTCTGCCTCTCTTCTTATCACATAAACTGAGAGCCCTTTCTCTCAGCCTTTCATATCCCCAACTTTTTTTTTTCTACACAGGTGGACAATAGAATAGACGACTTCTGTCTCATGTTAGCAGAAGTCAGAAGTTTTCCTTCCCACAGCTCAGTGCCATTAGCAACAGTGCCAACACGACCCGCTAATCCGCTAAAAAATTACCGCTTTGGGAAGAGGTGCGAACTGCTAAAGAATTGGTACCCAAATAAACGTTCCTACTCAGGGCACTACCCAACACCCAGGGGGGTCTGACGGCTGAGTGGACAGCGCTCGGTATTTGTAGTCCTATTGTTCTGGGTTCGATCCCCGGTGGAGGCGAAAACAAATGGGCAGAATTTCATTCATTCTGATGCATCTGTTCATCGAACAGTAAATAGGTACCTTGGAGTTAGACAGCTGCTTCCTAGGGATGTGTAACAAATAGGAGGCCTAGTCGAGGACCGGGCCGCGGGGACGCTAATCCCCGAAATCCTCTCAAGATAACCTTAAGAAGATAACACCTAAATCTCTTGCGAGGCGCTGGGTCAGTGTTGTAATTGCTATGCAATTTTTTCCATGTAGAGATTCCTGCAGACATTAAATCAATAGTGAAATTAATTTCGTAAGAGAGAGACATGTCTTAACACATGGACAAGACAATACAGCTAAGGCATTGCTCAATGCTTGTCCCCGTTCGATCCCCAACTGTCCAAGTGACTGTGCACCGTTCTCTCATCCGTTCTATCTGCTTCCTTGTCCTCATATCCCTTCCAAGTGTTACATAGACGCACTGGCTTGATGTTTTCCACTGATACTTATCTTCCCGACTTCAGGTGGGTCATTTTATTTACCTGTGTGGGAAACAGTATGTATCCTTGGACAGATTCTTCCAGAACGGCCTTTAGCTGCATGCGTAAAAACGTGTGCGCACGCATGCAAGCAATTGCGTGTGTTTAATTATAAATAATTAACAAATTTCTAACTGCAAAATAAAAGAATGTTTTTATTGTTTGTTGATTCAAAGTAAAAAAAAAAAAAAACGAGCAGCCCAGTGGCATCTCTAAACTTTTTCTTTAAAAAACTGCTCAGTAATGCTCAACTTCTAACAAAAGTAGTGTTTTAAAATGGCCAAACTTCTTAGTTTGAAACAGAAGCATGCTCAAGCCGCGGAGTCATCTCCTACTTCTACGATGCTTGAGGCGATCTCAACCAGGAATTTACGGAAATAAAACTTCCGGGATCACATTACATTTTACTTATCGAGGACTGGCCGTGCAGAGTCTTAGGTGCATTTTTGTTCTGGTTTGATAATGTGTTTTAATTCTACGGGTCCGCCTGTATTTACCTGTCAAGCTATTCAATGTATATTTGTGAACCTGTTATTTGCATTTTCTGCGGTCAAGGTTTGATAGATACCCCGTTGATGCTGCTTGAATTCAAGATAAATACAAATGCCACAATTTATCTCACCGGACGAGTTATTTCGAACATAAAAAGAGCTGTCAAATTACTTTGAGATATTCATTAATCAATCCGGTTTGTTTTGTTTCAAATTTGACTTGTAATGGTAATGATATTGTATGTTAATGCTACACCATTCGCAATCATGTGCAATAGAGTACATACTTAAAAATATGGGTGGCAGAAGTAAATCTCACGAAATCAGAGACATATGACAACATTTTCTGTGAATACTCTTTATTTCCATCTCCGTGGTACAATCGCACCAAAGGCGGTACCCATCTATATATATAGACATGCTTTTAAACAACAAGTTTGAAGTATAGAACTTTAGACAATCACATCCACCAGGGGACTCGAACACTGGTAATCAAGATTGCAGGTACGCACTTGTATCCACTACACCATACTTCAGAGCCCTAAGGAGGTGGGAATTCCAGGGTATTTAACCAACTAGATATCCCATCCTCTCCAGGCAATGAGACAGTGAGGGATCTCTCGCGTTTTTCATCAAGCCCTGTTATTTGGGAGAACTCGGTGCCCATGCTTAATGCACAAACTTGCTTTTAAACCACAAGTTTGAAGTATAGAACTTTAGACACTCACACTCACCAGGGGACTCGAACACAGGCCATCAAGATGGCAGGTACGCACTTGTATCTGGTTGGGATATCTGGTTGGTTAAATACCCCGGAATTCCCACCCATTTAGGGCTCTGTCATATTATATAATATGACAATGTGACACTGTTACATTGTCACTGTCACAGTAAAGATAACACTAAAGGTTTTGGGCAGAATTTAACTTTTTATTAAGAGGTATTTGTTGAAATCATTAAAATGATGCAAATTGTCGCAGAAATGAAGATAATTATACAAATTCATATATTATTATAATCACAATGTTTTTATTATAATATGTGGTAAAATTATTACTACTTATGGTAATGTTGTGAACATGTAAATTTTTTATTTAATGTTATTCAGTGTTATTCGACTTGTTCATTACCATTTTTTTTTTTTACATTTTATAAGTTATTGTCTATTTTCATGATTATATTGCTTCTTGTCCTAAGCAGCAGTAAAATCTTTTGTTCTATCTTACTAAGAAAACATTATTTTTTTTATAAGAAATCTGTTCCTCCTTTTTTTTCCTCTTGAGCTTTGTTATATCTCAGATTTAATTGCTCTCTCTCTCTCTCTCTGGCAACAAACACTCCAACATTAATTAGTGAGCAACTCTTCACTTGCCCTCCAATTTCTTCATGGGGAAAATTTATTAATATTGTTGATAAATCAGCAAATACTCAGTCGTTAAAAATGACAAACTTTCTCTCTTTTACAAAATTACACATTTTTGTCTACGTCATAAATATTTTTATCTTTTATTTTACTTACACGTTATTTTTGCTTATTTCAAAATATTATTCCGCCCACTTTGTAAATCTGGTTTTATCAAAGAATTATGTAACTGATTTTTATAACACACACACCTAGAAATAACAATCAAATTGTCAGTTTTTAATTAATTGCACAGCTTGTTAGTCTCGGATTATATTAAAAAATATCACACGAGCCTTGCGTGCTTTAATTGTATGTATGTGGCTGTTTAGTATCTTACAAATCCACTTATTGCACGCTTCCTGTTGGAAGTGATCAGTGTCACTGAGCATTGAGATGTGAATGTGTTATATGATTAAGCAATCTTGTTGAGTTTGGGACTGAATGTTGTGTAATCAAACAAGTTTGCTTTCTCAACATTGAGTCCCTAAATCAGTTTACTGGGTCGAGCTCAAGCTTCTGGACACGGCTTCACAGAAGCCAGTTCTTTTGAATGGACATTCCGCTCAAAATCCATTCTCCTAATCTGATCAGGAACCTACGAACCCAAAATGACAAAGTTAGAAGTCATCTTATAACTGTCATATTTTGTTAATGTGCTTCACGGGTGTCACAATTTGAGGTTAGATATAACTCGCCGATTCTATAAGCTGGATCAGTTTAAATCTGAAATATATCTTGGAGGGGGACCTTACTTCTCCAGCTCATCTGTTTTTATAATCTGCATTTGATAGAGTTAATGTCTAATAACCACTATTTGCATATGTGAAAGATATGTACGTCTTCTTGCAATCTCCTGAATTAATTTTACGCTCTATTTTCAAGCTTTGTATCGCTCGCAAATAAGGGAATTAATGTTCCTATTTTCTCTCCCAACTTTTCCCCTTGTTTCCTGCCTAATGGGCGTTCTCTTAAATATTCCACCGCTTCTCCAGTTACGTTACCTTTATACTGAAGTTTACAAAAGATCTTAAGGAATTGATTTCAATAAAATTCCTTCTATCATGTAATAGACAGATCTTGGGAATTTAAAATTAAGGACATCTTCCTCGTAAACAACAATAACTGCAATAATAAAACAAATAATGAAAATCCTGAAAGTTTTAAATACAAATAATAAAGCAAAGTGAAAACAAAAATAATGAAAATATTAAAAATTATGGATATTAAGTTAATAACATAGCAATATATTTTAACCTGCCTGGGGAAAATGAGTTAATTAACACCGGACGATATTCTTATGAATATAATGTCTTCCATTCCAACCCTCACCTTCAGGTCATCCGTGTCTCAGGCAGCAAGAAAAGGAACACTACTTAAAATGTTTCTCAATATAAGTTAAGTATTATTAGGTGTCGGTTGTAACATAGCCATATCCTGCTGTGATCGTAAGAGACAACACTATATTATCGTGTCATAAGAGTTTGGACCGTATCGACAAGTGAGGGATTCCTCTCTCTGGCCTCCGAAGACGGCAAACGCTTTCTTAGCCGAACATCAAGGCAAATCTCACAAGATAAAAGCATTTGCATAGTTTAAAGCAAGTTTGTAAAGTTTTGAAGATCTAGCCTGTCAAGTTTTACAGGATAAACTTAAGGTAACTTTTATTCTGAGAATAATGGGTGCTGCTGCTTCTCTGAGAGCCGACCTTTGGCTTCCTGAAGACAAGTGTGTCGTTGTCATTAGCTGTGAGTGGTGTCATTCTTGTGAGTGGTGTCATTCTTGTGAGTGGTGCCATTCTTGTGAGTGGTGTCATTCTTGTGAGTGGTGTCATTCTTGTGAGTGGTGTCATTCTTGTGAGTGGTGTCATTCTTGTGAGTGGTGTCATTCTTGTGAGTGGTGTCATTCTTGTGAGTGGTGTCATTCTTGTGAGTGGTGTCATTCTTGTGAGTGGTGTCATTCTTGTGAGTGGTGTCATTCTTGTGAGTGGTGCCATTCTTGTGAGTGGTGTCATTCTTGTGAGTGGTGTCATTCTTGTGTGGTGTCATTCTTGTGAGAGGTGTCATTCTTGTGAGTGGTGCCATTCTTGTGAGTGGTGCCATTCTTGTGAGTGGTGTCATTCTTGTGAGTGGTGTCATTCTTGTGAGTGGTGCCATTCTTGTGAGTGGTGCCATTCTTGTGAGTGGTGCCATTCTTGTGAGTGGTGCCATTCTTGTGAGTGGTGCCATTCTTGTGAGTGGTGTCATTCTTGTGAGTGGTGTCATTCTTGTGAGTGGTGCCATTCTTGTGAGTGGTGTCATTCTTGTGAGTGGTGTCATTCTTGTGAGTGGTGTCATTCTTGTGAGTGGTGTCATTCTTGTGAGTGGTGCCATTCCTGTGACTGGTGCCATTCCTTTGAGTGGTGCCATTCCTGTGACTGGTGTCATTCCTGTGACTGGTGTCATTCTTGTGAGTGGTGTCATTCCTGTTACTGGTGTCATTCTTGTGAGTGGTGTCATTCCTGTTACTGGTGTCATTCTTGTGAGTGGTGTCATTCCTGTTACTGGTGTCATTCCTGTTACTGGTGTCATTCTTATGACTGGTGTCATTCAT